TGTGTTTCATTTATAAAATGTAATCTAATAAATTACGGTTAATTAAGACTAATTTAGAATATGATATAACCTGGACACAACATTTTTATATGCTCTCTAAAGAAATTGATTAAGATATTAGAAAAAAGTGACTAAAGAATTAGAAAAAAGCCCAGTGAAGTGGGAGACAAACACCTAGAAAAATGGCCTGACAATCTTGAGAGATGAAACTTACTTATTTGAAACAAAGGCCATCAATTTATTAGCCTTATTTTTCTCCTCAGGTCTTAGAAGAAAGTCCTTCAAGAAAGAAGGGCTGTTATCTTTAAATCAGTAATTGGTACTGATAATTCTCTTTGACATTGTAGTATTCTTATCTGACTTTTTTTCCTAAATCACTATGCAGACTATCATGAGGAAAAGAAAGTCTTAAATGGTAAGTCATATAAATGTGTAATAAAAAAAATTAGTTATATACACATGTTTATGTACAGTATTGCTTCGCAGAATTGTCTGGGGTATTTAGGTTTTTTTAATAAAAAATATGTCTTTGTTGGTCTAAACTTAGAGAATTTGATAGAACTTTCTAGGCCCGTTATTCCAGCCATTCCTCTAATAGTCCCTTCTGTGACATTCCTGAACACATGTTCATCTGCCCTCAGCTTAATACTTGTAGTAATTAGGAGTTCCATCCTCAGAAACAAGTCTGCCAACAAGTCAACTCCCTGAGGCATATGAGCTTACCTCCAATGTTTGTATACAGATGCTGAATAGCTTATTAATCTACTCTTTTCTGGGCTGAGCATCAGCAGTAGGAGCCATTTGGGATGACTTGCAATTATGACTAACATTTCCCTTCCCCCCAAAAGTTTGATGTGATGGTCAGTACTGACTCATAAAATGCATGGGGCTACTCTGACTGAACTGGGTCGATATACATTTAGAAATAGTTTTATTTTTTTCTTTCTGTATTTATGCAAATACCCAAAATTGTCTGGTGATATAACACTGCATGAAATGAGGGACTGATCTTAGGTTTTCTCCGATGACTGACTCTTCAGTGATAAAATGAAAACAACCATTGCTTAATGACTAATAACTGATAGACTGGGCATTTCATTTCCAACCACATATGGCATCCAAAACTTTACTTTTTTGGTACCCTTGTTTGAATGCACTGCATTTAACTAATACCTCAAGGGTTTTTTTCAAAATTTTTTAATTAACAGATAGAATTGTATGCATTTATCGGGTACAACATGATGTTTTGAAGTTTATATACATTGTGGAATGGCTAAATCTAGCTAATTGACAAATGAAGTTAAAGATGGCCTTACGAGTGGAATATAGCATTCCACAAGTAATCTGACCTGGATCTTATAAGATTAGAATATATGAGGGTACTTCAGAAAGTTCACGGAAAGATTCTAATTTGAGAATTCCAAGACTTACCAGAGACTAATCATTATTTTTTCCTGCGTAGTTTAAGAAATATATAATTGTTACAGTGATTATCAAAAGTCATTTAGCAGCAGTGTTCTTTTTTTTCCAAACTAAGTCTTACCAATATAAACAATGGACTATTATCATGGGAGGAAAATTCTTAATGTTTGCAGAATTTCAAGTTCTTCCATGTCTCATAGTTTTCTGCAATGATTTTAAACCCACCGCTTTAGTGGGCTTTTAAATGCTGTGTTGATGCATATCCACAAGAATGAGTAAAATGGAAAAAGAATACCATATGTTGATGAGGTTGTGGAGCAACTGGAATTCTCAAACACTGTGGTAAAAAGTGGTACGACCACGTGGTATAACCACTTTGGAAAGATGTTTGGCAGTATCTATTAAAGCTAAACATATGTACATCTGTATGCCCAACGGAAATATCAATATATATTCTTAAAGAATGTACATGTGCGTGTAAAAGAATGTTTGTAACAGTGCTATGTGTACAATATCCCCAAACTGGAAACAATACTAATACCCATCATCAGGAGAATGAATAAATTGTGGTCTATTCATATAATGTAATACTGCTCAGTAATAAAAAGGAACCAAACTACTGATGCATTCAACAGCATGGATAAAATCTCAAAAGCTCTAGGCTTGATTTATTGCTTACTGTCAATCATGCTTATTTGACATAAGAACTGTAATATCCATAATGTAGGACAAAAAGCCCGAGCAAAAGAGAAAAATATCTTATGATTCCACTTATAGGAAGGTCAAATGCAGGCAAAAACTAATTGTGATGTTGGAAATTAGAAGAGTGATTATCCTTGGGGGAGGGGTGGTTATTGTAAGGGAGCACACAGAGGGTGCTGGTCACCAGGGTATGTTTCACTTCATAAAATTTCACTGAGTATTTTATTTATGATTTGTATTCTTTTATGTATGTATGTAATATTTCAGTAAGAAACTGAAAAGACAAAAACAATTTTTTAAATGCCATGTAGATGAACTGTAGCTATTTTGTTTATTTTTCTTTGTGAAGGCATGCTTCCCAAGAGCCAAGTGACAGATACACTTGCCAAAGAAGGTCCTAGTTCTCCAAGGTATGCATTCTTGTTTTAGACTTTTAAAGCTAAATCAGTACTACACAAAAATGCACATATTTTAAAAAATAAAGTAGCACTGAGTTTGATTTATTGCTTACTATTTATCTTGCTTCGTTGTCGATAACTGTAGTGCCTCATTTATTAGATGTTGTTGAAGAATGAGCTGTCCCACAAATATGAATTTTAAGTATAGCTGAAGTTTGATCCATTTGAAACACCAACACTTAAAAAAGTTATTTTAAAATATTTTTCTGATTATAAAAAAGTAAATAAGTACATCCATGGTAGAAAACTTGGAAAATGAGAGAAATACAAAAGAAAGTGATAAAATCAGTTGTAATCCTACCAACCTTAGATATATTCTCTTAACATTTGATTTATTCCTTTCAGTTTGATTTATATAATGCTTATTTTCATATTGTTCTATTTTTATAATATTGGTGTTGCAGTATATTCTGTGAGCAATTTCCTGTGTCATTAAATATTCTGTGAAAGCATTTTTTCTTTGCATTCCATCATGCGACCATACCATTATTTATTTAACTGTTCTATTTTTTGTATATCTAGCTTTTTTTTAATCATTTTTTTAATGGAAAGCTTTCAAAGTGTGTTATACACTAATGGTCTTAAACAGTTAGCAGTAAATTAGGCAACATATATTTTTGTTAATGATAGTTCCAATGTGTGTGTTATACCCTCAGGTGTGTGTTCTCTAGTTCTTTCTTTTAATGCCCTTCTTTCCACTGGCAGTCTATATTATTCTAACAGTAGTATCTTTCTATATTTGTTAGATTATTTTGTATACAATTTTAAATTAAAGGACCGGAATGCCTCCTCTAGATTCACCTATGGATGCCTGTATGTAGGTGTTGCGATAAGTGTGAAAACAGTATCAATTTGATCAATAGCTGTAGCAAAACAAAAGACTTAGTTTTATCTTAACTATTGACCCATTAAACAACCCTGATGAGTTAGTTTCTTTAGTAGTAATATATTTGTGAAAGGGAGGAGAGAAGGTAATTAGCATATAGATTTCTTCATGCTCCTTAACCAAACATGTGCTTTGTTATCACTCTAATAAAAGATTTTAGTAAAGAGATGTGTAACCTTTATAAAAACTGTCTTGTCAAGGATATTTTGTTTTTATCCAAGTAGGAATACATGGAAGTATAGATATTTTTAATTTAAAAATAATTGTCAGCTATATAATGAAGAAGATAATATGGTAAGACCATTGTTTATTTAGAAAAAAGTTTAACCTAGAGAAATATATCTCTCACTGTAAATTTTAAACAGTTAATGCTTTAATATATGTTAATGCATGTGATTGTTGATCTAATTATTCATTGTTTTCTTAATATTTTACAGCTATGACTGGTTCCAAACAGACTCTTTAGTCACCGTTGTCATATACACTAAACAGAAGGTAAACAAATGTTTTAAATTGGGAGGGGAATATAAATACTCAGTAATACTTAGTTATGTGTCAGGTCTTTTTCTAAGCATTTTTCTTATATTAACTTATTTACTCTTCACAACAACTCTGTGAGGTAGGTACTATTGTTATTCCTATTTTACAGAAAAGAAAACAGAGATTAAGTCATTTACCTAAAGTCATGCACTAAGTGGCAGATTTAGCATTTGGATTCCAGGCATTCTTGCTAGAGTGTATGCTCTGAACAACCATACAGTAGCTTCTTAAGAAGACTAGATTAGGAAGTATTTCATGTGCTTTTTTGTGATTTTTTTTTTTTTTTCCAAAACATGGATAACAAAAGTGAATCCCAGTTAACTTCACTGTAAGGACAAATTTCCTGAGTATAAATTGAGATTAGAGAGACTGTACTGCTATAGCTTAGTATGTTTAAATCACCACTAATGGTGTTCAAATGCCCTTTTGAAACTAAAGTTGGGGAGATAATTCATTCACTAAGTATTTATGTAACACCTACTTTATGTGAGGCACTGTCTTAGATAATCTTATCATGGGCCAGATACATAGAATTGTATTTCACAGGGTTTACAATCCAGCTGGGAAATCACATAAATCAGCAATTTATAATATCTCCAAACACATTCTCCAGCAATTGTCAAGGTTCTCTCACTTTGAGGAACCTTGTGGATTTAAAGACAAATTCTGGCAGCTAGGAATTTTTGACAATTCATGCTACTTCTGTAGTAGCCGAACCACATCTGAGCCTGTGGGTTTCTCTGACTCTTGTAGCATAATCTGACCGTTCTGCAGGAGTAACCAGCCTCTTACTGATACAGCCAAGAGGGCCAGAGGCACTGCTTGTCCCACCTCCCACTACCTATGGCTATTGTGTCTTCATCCCACAGTCCAAAACCCAGAAGACAGGGCCTAGGGAGGTTGGGGTCCACTCCCACTGGTAAGATCAGTGGGGCACAGAGGATGGATGGCTGAAGGAAGGGGGAAGGTTTCCATGTGGAATAATGTGTTCAGTGTATGGTATAAATGATAGGTACCAAAATACCTTGCAGCAAGTTTATGTAGAAATTAGAGACACCTAAAAATTTGTTAGTGCATTGATTTTTTGATAAGTTAAGGTCACGAGGCTATGTAATTTGCCCAGCATCACACAATAGTAGAAAGATTAAAACAAACACAGTATTTTGGTTTCTGGTCTGATTCTAATTTTTTTTTTTTTTTTTTTTTTTTTGCCACACTTCTTATTTAACAAATATTTATTGAACACTTAACTATGTGCCAAGCAATATTCTGAGGATAGTCCCTTACACTTAGTGCTTAGAGACTAGTGGGTAAGGTAGATATTAACAGAGACAAATATATAATTAAAATTGTGATATGTGCTTTGAAGGAGAAGAACTGGGTTGTAGGAAAGGAAAAAAAAAAGCAACAGGAGTAACATTTATTTGGCTTGGGAGTTCTGTAAAGAAGCACCGTATGAACTTTCACTGATCACCTTAAAAGTATAGTTGTAGAAGTTTGGAAAAAATTTTACTTTTTAATCTTTGTATTTTCGCTTTCTGTTTAAGGATATCAACTTAGACTCAGTAATAGTTGATCATCTGGATGATTCCTTTAGAGCAGAAACAATTATCAAGGACTATTCATATCTTATACATATTGGTGAGTAAGTTATTTTTATTAATGGAAACAGCTCCAGTTTCCTGTAAGTATGGCAATTACTTGGTTTACAGTCTAGGTAACTATAATATTTTATATGCTATTGTCATTTTGGTTTGTTACTTCTGATCAAATTTTTTCTGTAATTTATACTAATAAAAATGCTAGCAAATGGCGGTATGACCTCACCTTTCCAAGATTAAGCAATTAGATGCAGTCAGAATCAATAATAATATAAAATATTTGTTAGCCCAGCCTTAGCAAGTTTCTTGTACTTGACACCTACAAACAAGTCTCTGGAGGCCTGACTGTCACACTCTCCTCCTGAGTATCCTTTGCTAGATGACCCGTTCCACTGGCCTGTTCCTTCCCAGCTCTACTAGGAAGAGGCTGCACCAAAGCAACCTGGGCTGCAAGTTTGTATTGTTTCCCTCCTCAGTTGCCTGTGCTTTCATGGCCAAAGACCAACCATGCAATTCACTTCTGTCAGTTTTGAGAGATAAATCAGGACTAAAATCTGGAATCAAAGACACCAAATTCTTAATCTACTTCTCACCCATAATGAACTTGACTCTAGGATTTCACTCTTTTCTCCTTTTATGAAGTTGATGATATTCTAGTTAGAAGGTGGAAATGAAAAAATCAAGCAGTACTAACAAGAAAATAATCTTGGTAACATTGTTTTAAGTGTGCATTCTTATGTAAAGAATATTTCAGTTATTTTTGCAAAACAGGATGAAATTCTCCAGACCTCAGCTGACTCAGGATACTGCTCGCTGCTTTGCTATGTTAATGAAATACCTTTAGTCCTGAACTTGGTCAGAGTTGATAAATGTTTTTTTTGTTTGTTATTTTCCCCCTATTCATTAGATTAAATAACCTCAAATCTTTCTTCCAGAAATATGGAAGAAATATCCTACCAGTATATCCTACCTTATGGAATGTTTTGTTTTTCTATTATTTTTTGTTAGTATAAGATCTAGTTGCCTTTTATGGGAGAGTTTTAACCAGACATTCTGATGTCTAGAAAAGTATACATTAGCCATCAGCACTGTCATGATTTCTCTTCAAGTAAACCCTGTTCCAGCATCTATTATTTTTTCCAATACTTTATGACTAATTTTGTTCACACTGCAGCTAACAGTATATCTGTTTCATGCAGCTGAACCAGTGGCTGGAGTTGCCCCAAAAGTGGTGGCAAGGAGTTTCCGCAAGGGAGTGCACAAAACCATTGAGATGGGGCCCGTTGGGATTCCAAAGAAAGAAGCACTAAATGCCAGGTTATTGGTCCAAAGCATTTATTAGGGGAACTTACTTACTGAGGGGGGCTGCAGCCTATCCTTGGGACACACAGTGAGACAGGGGATGTCTACTTAGGTATGCCTGCAACAAGGGGGAAAGGCTACGGAGTTTATATGAGGGTTTAAGGAATTTGGCTCAGGACCAGGGCTAATTTCTTTCATTGTTTTGCTCAGCAACCTATATACCTTTATCAGTGCCTGAGATGTTAAAGGTTCAGGCTTGGGTTCAAGCCTGCTAAGGAAAACATTCAGCTGGCTGGGTCACAGAGTGGTCAAGACACTGTATTTCTCTGCCAGGACATAGAAAAAGTGGGGGAAACTGGGAGACCCTATGCTAGCACACATATAAAAAACATACAAAAATTCTGCAGTCAAAAATATGAAACTCTTGGTAGCCAGTATTGCATTGGGAGAATTAAAATGCAGAATTTTAAGTTCCAGATAATTGTTATTAACAGTGAAATTTAGAGCAGATATTTGTAAAAACATTGCTTATATCTCCTTCTAGAATGTAAGTTGCATAAGGGCAGGGATTTTTCTTTCCTGTTACCTGTGGTATCCGAAACACCTAGAAAGTGCTTGGCACATACAGATAGATACTCAGTAAAAAATTTTTTCAATAATCGAATGGATATTCAGTTTTAGAGAACAATAAGGAAGGCAAAACGAAGCTAGCCCCAGGCCTGGCCTCTGTTCACATATGCACATGCACTCACATCCAGGCGTGAATGCTTCAGGTGCTGCCTCTCTCCCTAGCCTGCTCCCTTTTTGGTTTCTAGGACCATGCGTGGGACCATACTTGGACTAGTCAATCTGAGACCATGCTTGGACTAGTGTGGGTTACCCACTGTGAGCAATGGAGTATTTTCTCTTCAGTTAATAGGGGAAGAAATGAAAAAATTGAAGAAGTACATATTTAAGTAATTAGAATGTCTATTTTGATTGAGTATAATTTTCTTTTGGTCTCAATATGTTTTACTTGTCTTGAGGAATTTGAAATAGTGCATAAAAGAACCATTTAAATGATCTTTTATGGTGTTCATATAAATTGGATTATGAATTGAAGCTGGATTTTTAACTTAATACATTTTTCTATGGCAGGGCTAAGCCATGAGGTTCAGGAAGATTTTTCTGGTAAGCTGCCTTCAAAAAGTTACTTATGTGCATACATATATGACACATACATATGGAGAAAGAGAAAAAAAATAAGCATTTGTCTTATATTTGATATGTATATTTTCATGTTGCAAAACAAAAGTATGGTGTTTTCTATATAAACAAATACATTAATTTTTTAATGTACCTCTCCCTCTGGTTTTGGGTTTTTCCTTTCTTTCTTCCCCCTTGTTCCTTTCATCTCTTAACCTTTTCCTTTTCCTCTCTTTAAAAAAAAAATTCCTGTCTATTTCCCATTCTTTCCTCATCTCTGCCCTGCTCCTGACATGCAACTTGTGGAAATATACTAGACCAGACAAATTTTTCTAACATGTGTATATTTAAATGTTTAATGTGGACAGAGCACACTAAATTGTAAGTATTGCTACATATAAATGTGCACTGTGGATTTTACACAGCTGTTTAGCAATAGAAGACTCATCATGGAGTGGTGGTTTCTTGTTGGAGTACCATATACTGGTTCAGTATCTACCCTTTTCGTATACCACAATAAGCTCTGTAGATCGTATAAATTAAGCTCTTTAAAGTCAAGGGCCATGATTTTATTTTGGTTAAGCTTCAAATCAGTGCTCATTGACTTGAATTAATTTGATTAATCTATCTTAAACAGTTGTTAAATAGTTACTGGGTTTTGTGTTTACAGTGAGGGAGAGCAGTTACATTATTTCTAAAGAAAAATGAAACATGCTTAGGCATTTAAGAGCATGTTCAATTCCTAAAATTTAAATCAGTGTGTAAAAGTCTTTTTTATTATTATACGTGTATATTCTAAACTGTATTAATCATTCAAAAACAAGAAGATAACCTAACAGGTGTTTAATTATCAAAGATTCAAATGTACTGTATTAATTTACTCCATATTTACTAGGGACTTGTTCTCCTAGGGCTGTTTTTGTGTTTTAGGTCAGTATTGGGCTACTGAATTTACTCATAAGAACTCCTCAGAGTCCAGCTAAGAAATGTTAAAAGGGAGTAAATTAAATTTACTTTTAGGAGTTTATTTAATGGCTAATTTGTATATCTCAGCCCTACTTTTTTTTTTTTTTTAGCTGTGTGTTAATTAGGTGCCACAGCTATATTTTTACTTGTATGAAACTAGCAATATGTATTACTTTGACCCTTGATAAATTAGTTTGAAAGAGGTTAATCTGAATCTACAATAAATTAAGCTGCCATCCCAGCAACCACCAAGCCACCTGGCTGGAAGCCCCCTGGTCTCCCCTGCCTGAATGAGGGGGATGCCACGAGCCTCGACCATGCCCTTCCTCCTCCTCCCGCCGTTTCCCTCCCTCTTTTCTTCTCCACCCCCAACTGCTCCACAACATCTTAGAATGTAAAAAATATATATATTAATAAATTTTAAAAGATAAAATAAATTAATATACAAACAAATAAAAGGGGGGGGAGATACAATGATCACAACAATTCCTTGAACTTGTTAAGACAAGTGAACAGATATGATGTTGATGGGGGATGGGGAGAGGGAAGTGGGAAAGAGGAATTAGTAAAGGGACATGAAAATCAACTACATTGTATATTGATAAAATAAAAATTAAAAATTAAAAAAATAAATTTTAAAAAATAAAATAAAATAAGCTGGACTTAACATCATATAAGGCATAAACAATTTTGATGAATACGTGAACAAAATCTTTTTCTTATCTCACTAATAATCAGTGTCATTCATATTAGATCAGGATATTTGGACTGTTAGAGAAATATTGGTTTTAAAATAAAATCTTATATTTCATACCAATGAATGCAAATGGAATTTATCTTTTCAGTGAGGGTTGTTGAGAATGTGGGAAAAATAGAGATTGTCCTAAAGAAAAAAGAGAATGCCTCTTGGAAATGTCTTGGTCATCCCCTGGAGAATCATAATTCATTTATTCCAAAGAAAGATACAGGTATGCTGCACTGTTATTTTATTATGTTAACTTCATGTCTATGAAATTATTGTGTTAGTGGCACAATTGTACCAGAGTTTGGAAGCCTACTGTGGAACAAAACTAAGCATCCTTTTATAATCTCCCTCTAAGAAGTGTGAAAGGGTCATTGTCTGTTATCCTTTTTTTTTCCCCCCATAGAGGTTAAATTCAGACTGAATGGATAAGCCCACTTGTGCTTAGACTGTTGTCCAACATTCACCCCTTCAGGTCCCTTTTTATAAAATATACAAAAACAAGTTTAAGTTTATGCCTTCTATGCACATCTAATTTTTTTTTTTCCTGTTAAGGAAGACATGTTTAATATTTTTCTGCTTCAGTAAACCTGTTTCTCAGTTTACTTCTAAAGGAGGATACCACTTATTTCCTTCCTTTTCTTTAAAGCTTTTTCTCCAAGTTTAACATATATATGAGTGTAGAAAAGAGTGCATATTGTAAGTGCTCTGCCTGATGAAATTTCACAAAGTGAACACACCCTGTGTTTTCTTTTTAGAAATTGGTGGGATTTGCTTCTTGTTCCAAATGTTTTGAAATTTCACAATGATATGCTGCAGTGTGGATGTGTTTTCATCTTTCATGCTGGGTGTTTATCCTTTGTAAACTTACGACCTTCAGATCTGGGAGATGCTGATTTTTCTTTCTCCCATGATCTGTTTTGTCTTTCTAGAAGTATTCTTATATTTAACCTCCTTAACCAGTCCTCTAATTATCTTTTCTCTCTTATTTTTAATTTTATCCTTTTGTTCTACTTTTCAGGAGATTTATTCAGCTATGTCTTCCAGAGACTCTTTGTTTTACACTTTCTAGAGAGCAAACTTCTGATATTTTGCCAGGATGGAACAGGGTCACACATGTGGCTGCACTAAGTAGGGGAGGGCCTCAGGGGGTTAGTGGGACATCCAATCTTTTTAAATGAACTTACATCCAGAAAGTGGTTTTTAGCTCCCCCTTGATTTTGGTTCCAGGGGTATTTGGTCCTGCCAGTGCCTGAGCCTTACAGAGATTTTTGTATTGTAAATGGGTTGAATCTTGGCTTTCTACACTTCTAGCTTAGGATTCAGCTTTCTCAGATCTGCTGAATCAGTTACCAGTCATCTGTTTGCCTTGTCAGCTCCCAAAGTTTGTTGTTTTCATCTCTAATTTTTATTCTTTTGTCATTGTGGGCTTATGCCTTAAAAAACAACCACAAACACACAAAGAAAATCTCTTTGCTGTTGTTTTAGGGGATTCAGAAGGAACTAACTGCATGTGTTCAGTTTAAAATATTTAAAATTATTATAAATATTTTAAATTATTGTATGAGATAGGAAAAACCAAACTTTTTTCCTGTTCTCACCACTCACTACTCAACACGGAACACTTCTGGTCACCAAAATGTGTGAGGTATTTCTCCCACATCATCAGCCAGTTCTATAGCAACACCAACTGGGTGTCCTACAATTTAATTCAATTCTGATACTAACCAGGGTTAGTGCAGACCCCGTAGTTTAAGGACTCAATCCCAGAAGACTGCCTCCAACCTCAGACACTAATTGTAAGCCCCAGATTGTAACCTGTGCTTCTGACCAATCGCCAAGAAGTTGGGGTTGTCACAACCTTCTCCTTGGGTTTGAAAATTTGGTAGGATAACTCATAGAACTCAGGGAAACACTTACATTTACCCATTTATTATAAAGGATATTACAAAGGATACAAGTGAATAGCCAGATGGAAGAGATGCATAGTGCAAGGTATATGAGAAGGGGTGCAGAGCTTCCATGCCCTCTATGGACATGCCACCCTCCAGGCATCTCCATGTACTCAGCAGTCCAGAAGCTCTCCAAACCCTGCCCTTTTGCGTTTTTATGGAGGCTTTATTACCTAGGCATGATTGATTACATTATCAGCCATTGGCGATCAACTCAACCTTCAGCCCCTCTCCCTCTCCCTGGAGCTCTGGGGATGCCGCTGAAAGTTCCAGTCCTCTCATGACATGGTTGATTCCTCTGGCAATCAACCCTTCATCTTGAGGCTATCCAGGAGCCAACCAAGACTTGCCTTATTAGAACAAAAGATGTTTTCTATCACCCAGGAAATTCTAAGGGATTTAGTAGTTCTGTTTCAGACACTCCTATTACTCAAGAAATTCCAAAGGTCTTAGGAGCTCTATGTCAAGAACCAGGGACAGAGACCAATATATATTTTGTGTTATTCCAAAATTATAAAAATATTTTTGTAAATAATTAATTTTCAGAAAAGTATGAGGCAGCCTTATTTTGAGTACACATTGTATATAGAAGGCTATTTTAGACACTGTGGTATGAAACAAAGGCATGAGAAATTATTTTTCCATATAGAAGAGAGAACATACACAAGCATGAGATTGAGGAATACTTTTATAAAGAAACAGGCCAACAGGACAAGTTATATAGTACAAACTGAGCATATTTTTGAGGTAGCCCAAAGTGAATTGACATAGATGAATGTCATCTTGAATGACTGCCTGAAAGAGGTGAATTTTAAGCAGCGTTTTACAAGTGAGATCCATGGCATTTAGAAAAACAAAGCAAAAAAAAACCTGTGAGGGACTTGCCAGGTATAGTTACATATCGTTACTAGATACATATTATGTCAGGCATTTTGCAGTTTGTAGAGAAAGAAAAATGTAAGCGGTGTACAAGAAAGTTCATATAGATTATGATAGATTTATGACATTAGGTAGGGAAAGAAGATATAGAGGAAAAATAGCATCGTCTAGCAATCAGAAAAGAATAGGAAAGTGTCCATGAAATGAAAAGAGATATCATTAGAGTGCAATCTCTTGCCCAGAAATTATCAGACTTATCTACTGACTGAAAAATCATAGCAAACCAGATAAAAACCAAGTCCAAGAAATAAATGATACTGAGAACCAAAGCTGATCTCCATTTAGAAATAGTTAGAATGACCATCACTCAAGTATTTTTCTCTGTAATTTCCTGAGGCTTTCCATGAACTCTTTTATCCCTGCTGTAAATTTCTCCTCGAGTCTTGAACCACCATAAAAAAAAAGAAAGCTTTAGTTTTCTTATGTGATATTGAACCATGGATGTACAAGGGTACTTCAGAAAGTTCATGGAGAGATTCGTCTTATTTTTTAATCACATTTTTCCACAAAATTTTTGAAGTATCCTCGTATTTTTCAGTACAGTAGATTTTCTGCTGTGGAAAATGACTCAGAGTTTGGGTGGTATTTTTGTTTATTTGACTGAATTACCAAAGATAATTTCTTCTTTCTCCTTTCCCTTCTTTAAATCATGACAAAAACTATAGGTTATTTTATTCTCTAGCAAAGCTGAATACTTACATCACCCAAGTATAATCAACTTGCTATATTGGTAGCCTCAGACATTGTTAGCTAGCCCATCATGTGTTTCCTAGACTTTCAACATGTATTACTAAAATTGTTGACCTTTATGATATTACCATGCTGGCTTCATCTTACTAAAGTTTCTTGGCTAAAAGAATTTTAGTTTGAAAATAAGCATATATGTTAAAAACTTTTAAAACAGTGTCTTCTTATGTCAAATCTAGAATTTACTTACATGAAAGTAAGTAAATATAACAAAGAACATCAGCCAGAGAAAAGAAACTCCTACTTCATTTTTACTTTAATCCAAATGTAGTAGGTAATATTTTAAACTGTGTGAATGGAACCAGACTTCTACTTATAAGTGTGATGCCTCCAATTAATTTATTTCTCCCCAGAGGTGAAGATTATGAGTGAGTAGGAGTGTGTGTGTGTGCGTGTGCGTGTGCGTGTGTGTGTGTGTGTGTGTGTGTGTGTGAGAGAGAGAGAGAGAGAGAGAGATGGTTGAGGAACTTGTCTATTAAGGGTCAGAAACCAGTAAGAAATTGGATTACTATTTCTATACCCAACTTAACATTTTATTTTAATTGCTATTGCCTTTAGTATGAATACTTTGACCACCAGGTAAAAGCAGCTTTAAAGATTTTCCACCAAACAATCCAGTAAATTAGCCTTAAGAGAGGTTTTGTTTTTTTTTTAAATTGCGTCAAAATTTTGATATGTCAACAGTCATATATAAGCATTTAGGCTTATGCACACACACGCACACACGTGCATGCACACACACACTCTGTGCCGTCTTTTAAATTCAAATTGAACTGTATGAAATAGCTGATATTTAACAGTTTTTTTTAACATAAAAACATGGTAGTTTCACATAGTCTGAACAATATTTTTATCAGGGCTCCTTAGTTACACACACACATACACACTTGTATGCACACCATGTGTACTTGTAAATGTGCTTTCGACACACTGGAAGTAGTCGTTTAATTCATACTTTCTGTAGGACATGTAATTCTCCTGGTAATCTGCTTGTCCTCACAATGAACAGATCTTCTTTCAGGGGTGGAAAGAACCACCCTCACCTCTCACCAACATTTCCCTGTATATCCCTGTTCCTTTGCTGATATAAATAAGCAATCAGAATTACTAGAAATGAAGAAATATTGTGGATAGCAAATAAAATCTTCACTGTGGTTTGTTCTCTTCTTAAATTGCCTCTTCTGCCCAGCAGGCTTAAAGTCGTTGCTTACACAATAACTGTAAGATGCTTTGGCATCTTGTTATCTTATTTTCTTTTCTGTCAGAATGGCCTGTATATGAAACCTGAAGAAGTGCGAAATATATGAGGCAGTTTGTAATTGAGTAAAAAATTATTTACTATACTAAAATAGAAGTTTAACAACTTAGAATTCAAGTGATTTGAGCACTTCAGTATACAATATTGGCTGAATTATTAAGGAAAATGAGAGGAAAGGTGATAGGCATAGAAATGTTTAAATTTAATGACATTCTTGCCATATGATCTTGTTGTCTGAGGGCCCCATTGAATCTACTCTTGGAGAAAGAGATGTCTTTCTCCTAGTTTAAGGCTAACGTTTAACTCTGCAAAATTCTTGCTTTGAAAGAGATTCAGTTTACCATATGATCTTGTTTGAGGGCCCCATTGAATCTACTCTTGGAGAAAGAGCTGTCTTTCTCCTAGTTTAAGGCTAATGTTTAACTCTGCAAAATCCTTGCTTTGAAAGAGATTCAGTTTACATCAGTCTCCTTGAGGTAGTAAAACATCTTAATACACTTTAGGAATATTTTTAACAATAATAATTAAAACAAGGAATTGTCAATTTAATAATACTAATATAAAAATCATATATGGAAATTCTCAGTCCTTGAGCATTCTGCTTCATCATGTTTTACCCCAATATATAAATAGATATGTGTCCATAGATACAAGGGGTCTTCAAAAAGTTCATGGAAAGATTCATATTATCTTTTAATTACTTTTTTTTGCATACTTTTTGAAGTACCCTCATATTTATCATCTCTTGTGTTTGAAGATATGTTGTGAATATATTCTTACTCATATATACAAGAGTGGTTTGGGTGAGGATAATAAAAGTATACTACTAAAAATTAAGTGGAAGCCTTATCAAAATTAGTGAAAAGGCTGAATAATTTTAAAAACAACAAAATACATGCTGTTATATAGTATTTTTAAAAGTATGTACTAACTTGAAGTTTGTTTCTTCAATATAGGAGGCTATCCTAATGACTTCATGAGTTCAAATTATTTTATCAGTAGACGTAATGTTAATAAACATTGGTAAAGTGCTTGAAAATAGTTTGTTCTCAAGTGTTCTGAACATTATCCCTGCAGTCAAGTTCACTGCTCATCAGGGTCACTGTTGTGGAAGGACAGCTAGCAAGATTAAATCAGCCTGGCCCCTGCTGTGTGAACTGTGGAAAATTCTAAATGGAATGTCTATTGAATTGAATGGCTGTAAGTTGTAGTTTTTTCTGTGTGGTCATTTTTAGGTATTTATGTCTATATACATTTAAATATTGTAGATGTTAGCATATTGGGGGGTTTTTCCCTTTCCATAGATTGCTTTGTGTGTGTGTGTGTGTGTGTGTGTAGTCCCACTAATCGGTTGTAGTTTTTTCTGTGTGGTCATTTTTAGGTATTTATGTCTATATATATTTAAATATTGTAGATGTTAGCATATTGGGGGTTTTTTTCCCTTTCCATAGATTGCTTTGTGTGTGTGTGTGTGTGTGTGTGTAGTCCCACTAATCGGTTGCCCTACTGTGGTTCAGGAAGTTCTTGCAGGAATAAATGAGAAAAAGTAGATTGTAATTTAGGAGATAAGTAAATAACATTTAGGTAATTGAAAGTAGTAAAGAATGCTACTGTTCTGATCAACCAGAAAAAGTCTGGTTGATCAGAACAGTAGAGAATGGGATTATTGAAGAAGAGATGTACCTGGGACGAATCTTGACTTGCTGAACTGGTTCCTTAATTTGGATATTAAATAGTTAATAGGGAGTTGTAAAGAGTGGAAGGGAAAATTTGTAAGTGTTTTCGCTTTGACTGACATGGTTAAAATAATCAGGAAGACTCTACAGAACAATATTCTAGTCTAGAGCATGGTTCTCAAACTTCTTAAAGTCTACTGAGTTGGGGCAAGAAATGCTAATAACTTGTTGCTCCATCCCACATCTTCTCCAGCTGCTCTGTGACCTTGGGCAAGCTTTTTAGCTTCTGGAAGCCTCTGTTTCCAGCAGGGAAAATAAGAGTGACCAAGTGCTTTAAAAATGTACTAGGTGCAAAGAGTCCCCAACTGAAGGCAATGGAGACTTTTAGTCCAGTGTTCTCTTTCTGTTCCATCTCCCATTGGAGACTTTGCCTGTGTTTTCTGTTTTAGCCTTGTGAAATTCTGCTTTTTAGAAGGGAAAATATAGTTTCTTTTCAACATTAAGAAAAAAGTTTGCCCAAATTATCATGTTATCCTCAGTATTTCTGTGTTACCCTGAATATCTTGATATTACATGTATTTTATTAAAAGAAGGTAGCTATTCTGGGTAGAAATTTTTGTCTTATGTTTTTTTTTAACCATCTTACATTTATTTTCAATTTCTCATTTTCTTGTATAATTATATGTGTTTATGAAGCCAAAACCCTGACACTTAAATAATGGCATTGTCCAGACTTGAAGTAATCAGCACCATCTATCTGCTGCATACTTTTTTTCTTCATATACTGCAGTTCCCATCCATCTGTGCTGTCTTTTTCTTCAGTGCAATCGAAAGATGAAAACTTTCTTAAATTTTTCTTAAAATTTTAGAGCCTATAGTTAGGATGTTCCTTTGAAATTGTCAGTCTTTTAGAGGAAAAATTTGGAAAGTCTCTCAGCAGTGTTAAATAGCAAGAATGCTATGTCAGCGCTCTTACAAGGAAAGTCAGTAAATCACTATAACCCAGGATTCCCTTGTGTTTTAAGTATAGTTGATGAGATGCATATTTACTGTAGCAGATCTTTTCTGGCAAATGCTAGAATAGAAGTTATCGAGTCAGAAGATGAATGTATTCATCTGGCAATAAAGTTATCGGGAAGACATGCACTAAATTTGATTAGAAGAAAGCACTCGACCTGGCAAGAGGGGCACCTTCCCTGGATTCCACACTTGGAGAGCCCCACATGGCTGTCCTCCAGCCACACCCCTCCCACAGGGTGAAGAATGTGCAAGGGCAAGAAGTGTTCGTCTGGAGTTCACCCTCTTTCCTTCAACACCACACTACAGGTGTCTGGAGCCCTACAATTCCCTGCCCAATTGGCCCCACTTCTACCGAAGGAGTGGCCAGGGCTGTTTATGGGGAGAGCTAGTGGATGAGCTTGAACAAATGGACTAATGTGTCTACACTGAGTGTCAGACAGTGCCAACAGAAGAGGGGCAGGCAGTGGGTGTGCAGATCTTATCCCTCTGCCATCTCACTGTGTGATAGTATGAAGGGTTTAAGAATCCTGAATTTGGATCTAGCCTTCTAGGACATTATAAAGGTATGTATTTCAAGATACAGCATAGGACATATTTTATTTGACAGTTATTTGTCTGATTTGTAACTTTTAAATATTTATACATATAGTATGTGGGGCTCTGGTTGTATTCTCACCTTAGGTCCCAGAAAGTGGCTAAAGGAGGAGATAAGAAGATCATTTATTTGAACATTCATTTCTCCTTGTGGGTGGGATGTCCTTTGACCTTTGGTTAGTCCAGTACTGGTTAGGCCTTCCAGGATGACTCTAGAGTGGTGCTGTTACGCATAATCTACATCTGGCACTAAAGTGAGGTGACCTGAAGAGAGGCCCTCAGATTTTTGTGTGCAGCGATGCACTCTAAACTTATGTACTTACTGAACTACCATTGTAGTAGGTGGAAAGATTGAGTGACTGGGAGCTTTGGGGGGCAAAAGGCAGAAGAGAAGTTGGGTTTAGCTTCTTTTGAATGGCCAAGAAGATTTCTTAGGATTATATGTAAATTTCAGTTTTTTCCATTAATCATTTATTATTAGCTGTTGGTCCTTCACTCTCTAAAATCTGGAGTTAATCTTTCTGCACCTATATTTTTAGGCTTAAAAAAAGAGAGAATAATTAGGATAAGAAATGCATTGTCAGGGTTGATTTCTTTACATCTCTGTAAATAGTGTCTTATGAGAGAGGAAATAATGAAACAAACCAATATCAGTCTACTGTGGGATGCTGTTTATGTTCAAAACAGAATTTACAAATGAAAATATTAATGCTTTCAGAACTTTTATAATAGATGGTATTATTTTTCTCTGTAGGCAAACAATATTTTCTGCACTTGAGATATTAATTTCAAATATTTCCAGTATTTATAGAAATACTTGATTCCTTTTATTTGTGTATTAGTACCACAAACCTAGCATGTTCAATTTTTCATTTAAATTAATTTTCCAACTACCAAAACTTATATCCTTAAGCATAAAAGTTTATTTTTTGTTTTAATCATCTTTTGACAGTTAAAAAGTTGTATAATTCATATATATAATACGTATACACAAACATAGAGACATAAGAATGTATATTTTTCTTGCCGTTCTTGAAGAGCTATTCCTACAATAACTGTAAATATAAAGCATAAAAGATGGAATTATTTAAAAAGTGAATTTAAGAAGATCTAATTGGGTTTTGATTTCTTAGAACGTAATGGTTTTAACATGCTGTAATAACAGACATGAGGAAATAAAACTCACTTTGTAATTTACAGGTTTTAGAAAATAGATATCTCGGGAAATAAAATGAGAAAATTAACCTTATAATATTGAGGAATTTTTTAAATGTGTGGGCATTTTAGTGAAATTGAAGCTTTCTAGAGAGCAAAATCTGAGCATGTGCTTTCTCTTAGTGGTCTATTATTACCTATTAATGTATGTATCAGTAAGAGAAAATGACTCACTTTCTAGGTTTGTACTACAGAAAGTGCCAGTTAATTTCCAAGGAAAATGTTACTCATGATACGAAGCTTTTTTGTTTGATGCTGCCACCAAGCACTCATCTTCAGGTGCCAATTGGGCAACATGTTTACTTCAAGCTAACTATTACAGGTAAGGTCGGTAGAGGCTTTGGGGAAACATTTTTTTCTTTTATTAGCAATTCAGAATCAGTACTAATCTCTTTAGGAAGCAACCATTTAAGTTATTGATAAATTTGTTGGGCAGCTAGATTCAGTGATAGCCAGAATCTAGGTTTGTGGATGCAGTGTTTTCTGTATGTTGGAACTATAGCCGTGCCGCATTGTCATATGGAACAAAGAAATCACTACCAATTGGAGAGATGGTTTCACCAGCATTGTAATTTATTGCTAACAAACCCAAAAGGAAAGAGGTAAGGGATTACATAAATGGTCAAGACAACTACTAGAAATTCATACAAGCATTTCTTAGTAGCCACTCATGGCTGTGCCATTTATGAAGTTGAATTTATAGAATTCAAAATGAGTGGGTGATTATAAATGATTTCCTTATGTTTGCTGCCAGTATAAGGAACTCTTAAAGTGTATTCCTTACTCTGTAAATTCTTTTTACCTCATTTTCATTCTAAAATTACTTCACTTACTTGTTTTAAATACCCTTCTTATTGATGTCCAACATTTTCTTGGCCTTTTGAAGCTGCAAAAGGTAAAATTCTCATGTTGGTCATAGTGTTTCTAGCAACCAGTCTAACGTACTGCCAGCTAGGCTTTGTGGTAGATATGGTGTATTATAATGGCACTATTTAGTTTTTCTCTTCATCATCACTAATGCCAGGTTACCATTCAATAGCTGATTTCTTCCCTAAAGCAGTTATTGCCAATATATTTTAATTTACATATGGATTAATTTTGTACATGTCAAGGAGCCATGTAATAAGTTTTGGTCTTTCAAATGTGTGGTGATTTTTCCCTTTGGAATTTGGCTAGCTTAAACATATAACATGAATTTTAATTTATTTTACCCCTTTTAAAAATAATATATTCTTAGAAGTGGTTGGATTGACATTCTTTTCACTCAGCAAAGTAATATGTAGTATATTAAAACATTAAAATAATTCAAAATATGTAAAGTAAAAAGTGAAATTCCTTTCTTCCAAATGATCTTGTTGGCCATCAGTAACCATTGTTAAAATTTTGGTGTATAATTAAAATTACTATGTAAATACCTTCTTACATCTCCATGGTAAACTTTTGATGCCATATTTGGTGTGGCTTATTACAAAGCTTATGTGCTAATGGAATAGATGGTTGCCTAAATTTATTAACATATATTCCTATTAATGTAGGCCACGCTTAATAAAAACAGGTTGTTTATATTATGGGTAAAGTATTGATTTGTTAAAATTATTTCAGCACATATAGGCTTTGGGTATACATACACATATATATACTATATACATGTAGAACTCATAGTTCCAATTATATATTCATTAGGTGTATAGTTTTAAATATGTACTGATTACATCATAAAATTTATGTGTTTTATCTTCATTAAGAGCTTTTTAGATTTTTAGAATTTAATTTCTTTGGTGTGATTTTTTTCTAGGTACAGAACTAGTAAAGCCATATACACCTGTATCTGATTCCTTACTCTCAGAGTTCAAGGAACAAGTTCTTCCCAACAATAAATACATCTACTTTTTGATCAAAATCTATTCTGCTGGACTCTTCACGCCAGAGCTTGATCATCTTCAGATTGGTTAGTATTTTTGCTTTTTTTTCCCAGCACATTTGTGCTCTAGATTGGATCAAACTGCCCTCTAGCTTTCTCTATGTAGAAGTCTATCAAATATATTAAACTCAATATCTCTACAACCAGTGTCATCTTCTCTTTGTCCCATCCTACCTATCCATACTCCATATTCCCTGTCTTTATTATTTGTAGCATCACTGTTCATCATTGACCCAATCAGAAAACTTCAGTCATCCTTGATTCTTCCCACCTTCTCTCTCCAGTCAGCCGTTAAGTTCTATTGAGTCTACCTCCCAGTGACTTTTTAATCTTTCCTTCCTACCTCTTCTGCTATCCTCTTATACCAAATCTTTGTTATTTCTCTCTTGGCCTCTAACTGGTCTCTCACAATGGACTCTAACTGGTGTCTTTTTCTTTCTGTTTGTCTGCATTTTCCATTTTTTTCTCCAAAGTGCCCTGAAAATAGATTTAATCATGTTGCTCTGTAACTCTGAAATCTCTGATGAGTCCCCATTTCCAGTACTGCTTAAGTTTTCTGCATGGCCTACAAAGACTCTGACAACCTCTCCAGCTTAGTCTCTTGCTGTATGAAAATACTGGTGCTATTCGCAGTTCCACAAGTTTGTCATCCCCATTCATAGGTACATGCAGTTGCCACACCTAGGATGCCCCTTAACCCTTTCTCTATCTGCCAAGTGCTTTTCTTGTAAAGACGCAAACAAAATATCACTTCCTTTATGAAGTCTCCCTCTTCCTGTGAACCCTTCAGTAACTAACATTTTATTCATAGATCTATCGTAAGAATAAATATATTCCTTCTTTATAGGATTTTGAGTTGAAGGACAGAAATTGTCTTACTTACCTTTGTATTTCCAGCATGTAGCATGGCAGTTGGCACATAGTAGGCTGTCAGTAAATGTACTATGAGAAAATGAATAAAAGAACTGTAATGAGACCTATTAAGACTTAGAGACCTGTCTTCTTGCTTCTACTCCTTTTTCTATCCTCTACTCCTTTTTCTGAATCTTCTTTTCACTGCTTTTTTACCTAATAGCAAAAGTGTTCTTCTTTCTAAGGCAGCATTAGTAGTACATGGCGGTAACAGTGAAGTGGATCACTAAGATTTGGAAATAAAGAAAATTATGTTACTTTCTGAAAGTTAAGCTTAGAAATATACACATAGTGGATGTGATTAGTTATCCTTGCTTATGTAAAGCACAATATGAATGTGAACTTGAGGTATTTTGGAATACCTGCAAATGTAGTGAAGGTAAATATCACCTTGTGAAGGAAGGACTGACACATGATTGTAAGATAGTAAGTGGAAACTTAACCAATGGTATTATAACCTATTTATAGAAATTTTGCGAACAAGCAGGGTGGAGAATTAGCATAGAGCATGGAAAAGGAAAGCCCAAAGAAAAAGACTTCATCTTCATCCAGGAAAGCTCGACATGACACAAATATCTGTGTACACTTGCAGAGTGGTGATAACTCATGAAGCCTCATCATAGCCTAAATGAATGCTCCCATAAAGTTATCCACCTCTTTGCTTCAATCCCATGTTCACCAAGCAACTTTTATGTAATTACTTTGGCCTTTTAAGTGTTCTGATCCAGGAAATGAGAAACCCTGGGTGGGACATGTAATGTTCAGGTCACTAGATACATATAGCCCTGACTGAAAATCAGTTGCCATTCTGGCATTTGTACTTCAATCTCTTGTGATTTGATTTACATCAGTTACCCTGCCGGAGTCTAATCAATTTTGTGGCATTGGAAGGACTGGACTGTGGATAAAAGTTACCAAGTTAATGTCATCCTGTGAGTCTTCTTTAGTAAACAACATCTGGCTTTTCCTTAAGGACATTCTGATCTTATGGTTCCTTCATACTATAATAAGGTGTTTTTATTACTTTCAAATATTTAATTCATCAATTATTGCAAGATTCTTACTATCCTATGATGAATAACAAAGGAAATTGTGAGTATCCAAGCATTTTAAAATAAACTAGAGTATTTGAAATTATTTTAAAATTATAGACAGCTTTATTTTTTATTTCTAAAATTATGTTGAAAATTTCCGAATCTAGTCCTAAAGGCAGTTTTCTTATATGAGTGGTATGTGGTGGTTATCTCAGCTGCACTATAGAAAATGGGCACCGATTTCTCAACTGTGTTGATTCTAGATTGGGACATAGCATGCTCCAAGAACTGCTGACTGCTTTTCTGATTTTGCTTTGTTTTTATAGGAATTAAACTCAGAAAAGCTCTTACTGATTAAAACAAGAAGTCTTTTCAAAAATTTAATGGAGGAGAGGTTAGCACATTTACTAACATAAGATTTTAGAATACATTTTTATTTCAGTTTTCTCTCCTACTAATTCTATTACTGTGGTTAATAATCAAAATGTAAATAAGGAATATCTATTCTCTACCCTGTTCCATGCTGAACAGGTATATGTGGATTCTGCTTTTGAGGAGCTTATAATTAAGTTTAGCCATCAATCCTTCATTGATAATTTGTGGATAAGTACTTTGCAGCAGTTTATAAATTTCACACTTCAGATGGTTTGGGAAAATAATGTTGGGAAATGACGTAATGAAGCCTCATTATTAATTTGATTATAATGATATAATCCAGACATACTTGAGGGCCTAACGTAAAAATCCTTACGTATCTTAAAGACTGATATGTAGTCTGCAGGTTTTTATCTGGTTACTCATCAGTGCTCTAAGTTAAGGTACTTTTAGCCTTCTTGGTTTCCCTGCTGGGTTTTTTTGTTTGTTTTTTGTTTTGTTTTGTTTTGTTTTTTCTGATTTAGTTTATATTTTATTGTTTAGGGGATTTTGTTTCTGTAAGCAATCCTGAGGGCAATTTAAAAATATCCAAGTTCCAAGAATTAGAAGATCTCTTTTTGTTGGCAGCTGGAACAGGCTTCACACCAATGGTTAAAATACTGAATTATGCTTTGACTAATATACCCAGTCTCAGGTATGTAATTTTATCTCTAATTATTATCCTTCGAGAGGCTGTTACATTAGTATAAGGTATTCTAAATAGATTACTCACTGTACCTTAATAGACATGTTCTTGTTCCCTCATTCATCATTTCTTACTCTGCCTCCTCTGGTCCTAGATATTTTATTAACTTGTTTCTTTTATCTCATTTCAGCTTTTGATACTTTTGGTTACCTAATTGACACTAAAAAGCATTCACCCTAGTTCACTTTAGACTTTTTATTTGTGTGTATTTTAAATGTAATTAATTAGTACTTTCTGAGTTTTTTTTCTTTTAAGGAAAGTGAAGCTGATGTTCTTCAATAAAACAGAGGATGATATAATTTGGAGAAGCCAATTGGAGAAATTAGCATTTAAAGATAAAAGGTATTGAACTGGTATTAGCTCTGCATTTAAATATTCAAACCTATGTAGTAAATCTAGGCCCATCTCCTTGGTTGGAGCTTTGAATTGACCAGGAAGCTCCTTCAAAGGAAAAAATAAACTAATTGATAATTCTCTAAATGTAAATAATGTTGATGTCCGCCCTGCGCCCCCCTTCTTCCCCCAAGAAATACTGAAATACTGTCTGGTAAGATCTAAGTAACCTCATTTATGTGTCGTTAAAATGTACATTGGGCTTTATGATCATGTTATGTAATTTATACTGAGTTGAGTTTCTTTGGAAATGTTCCAGTGTAGCCAGTTTGGTAATTCAGTTTTTTTTTTGTTACAATGGGGCAGTTAAAATAAATTTGATGAGGATGGGTTAAGCAAAATTAAACATGTTACAGGATTTCTTAGAGTCATTAGTATGCTAATATCCATTGTGACTTTCTAAGAGGGGGATTTCTTGTACATTGTTCAACAAGATTCTCTTCGTTTTTCTTTGTTTGCATTAATGCTTATTAATAGTCTTATCACTAGTGGTCCTTATAGCACACTTTGGGAAATGCTAGTAGAGGCAATAGAAAAAAGTTTTGGTTAAGGTGAACTCAGTGATAGAATGAGGCAGAAAGAATAGCCAAGTGAAAATTTTATTTCATTGAAAAAAGAGCCCAGCACAGTCAACTGAAATAAGATAATTTAAATGAGCATATACCCTATCTGTCCTAAAAAGATTTGAAACAGTTGGAAGTTCAGGACAAATTTTTTACAGGAAGAGCAAATTGGACAAGCTGTCATACTCTCTAAAACATTTTTGTAATCATTAATAGCTATTTCTAAGAATTTCATGACTTCCTAAGTTGCACAAAGTATCTAAAGTAAGTATTTATGTTTTTGATAGTATGGTACAAGTAAAATTCTAAACCTTTTGTGTTCTATTGCACAGTAGAGTGACTGTGGTTAACAGTTAAGTTTTGTATATTACATAAGAGCTAGAAGAGAGGCTTTTGAATATTTTTGCCACAAAGATATGATAAATGCATGAGGTGATGGATGCACTAACTACCCTGTTGTGATCATTATGCAACATATATGTATCAAAGCCTCATATTGTACCCCATAAGCATGTACAATTACAATGTTTCAATTAAAATTTTTTAAAAAGATTTTAAAAACTCAGCCTTAAGCCTACCAAAAAAACCCCCACAAAACAATTCTAGACATTTTGAAAGTTGGAGTTAAAGCCTTAGAAACTCAGTTAGCTGTCCTGGGGGCTCTAGGTTCTTCTGAATATTTTCTGAATATCTATAATAAGGTAATGCAGTGATCTCTTCTCCCTGTTGTCTCCCATAATCCTCCCATTTCTCTTTTATAAATGACTTTTACAAATTAAGGATGACCTGAGTTTATTTATCCTTGAAGTATTTACTATTCTTTACATACTTAAAACATAAACCTAACAATATTTACTATATTTAGGTAGTTGTTTGGCAATTTAGAGAATGATTTAAAGAAATATGAATTGTTAGGTTTTCAAGTATCTTTTACACTAAATTTCAAAGTGGAAAATCAAAAGCATTTATCAAGAAGCCTAAAGACCTAAATTCTAGTTCCCATTTCACTTCTCACTAGCTTGAAACTTCATTAAAAAACTAATTAGCTTTATGGACCTGTCTTTCTCTTCAACATAAAATAATGATATCTTTCCTACTTACTTTATAAAACTCTTATGAGGTTAGGAGAAGATAATATAAGTGCTTTGGAAACTGTGAAGCCCCCTCCCTCAGACATTTGAACTTGGTTATAGATAACCACTATATACATGTGTTTGCATTCTGTCTTAGCTGTTAGAGCTCCTGTTTCCCTAAACAAAAATTTTTAAAAATTTAAACAGACATAGGTAGGCTTTTTTAGCTAGGGGTTTTTAGCAAGAAATTTCTGATGGTTTTTTGACAAAGGTATTCTTTAAGATAGTTCCCTTATGACAGAAATTATATAAATTTTTAAAAAGAAACTTACTATTATTTTAATGAGTAGACATTGTACTTTTGGTCTTATTGATAGGAGTTAAACTTGATTTACAAATTAATCAGTGAAAAGGAATGTGTTGACAGCCTCTGAACATAAAGTGTCTTTTAACAAAGTCAACTGTGTTTTTTGTTTTGTTTTGGTCTACCTAATTTGGGTTGGTGGAATTGCATAGGCTGGAGTATTGAGGATGAGGAAAGGCCCCTTTTTTTTCACTTCTGGATGCCTGGCTCTAACAGCACTCACCAGGTGAGTGATCCTCTCCAGCTTGCTGAGAGAAGTGATAGTGTTCCGATTTCTGGCCTGCCTTTATCCTCCCTCTCCTGCTCCTTCTCTCTTCCTGCTCTCCCTTGCTCATTCATATGTGCTCTCTTCCCTAAACCTCTCCTCTCTTACCTTACTTTCTCCTTCCTCTTTCTGGAGACTGTTCTCCTTGCTTCAGGCATTCTACTGGCACTGACTTCTAGTACTATGTGATTTGTGATCCCCATAGACTCATGGCCTTTTATGAGTAAGGTCTGGCCGGGCCCTCACTGAAAAAGAAAAAGACCATCCTTGTGTAGATGGCCTTGGAATATTTATCAGGAATTTTACCATATTCTGAGTATTGATGTGGAAATAGGAGAATCCTAGCCTTAAAGGCTTACTGATGGGTTTTGGTAGCACTATTTAGTTGAAACATGATTGTGTATAAAAAGAAAGCAAAAGTTCAGATTTAATATAAGGTAATTTTAATTAGTCACATCTGTATTTTAGTTAGCATTTAAAGTTATTAAATTTTTAATATACTAAATCACCTTCTTCCACATCTTGACTCCCCTATGTCACTTCTAGTTTTAGTAATAAAGTTTATGAAGATAAAATGTTAACTGAACATGCTTACTTGGTTAAATTATTATTGAATTGTGAATATTAAAAAAAAAATCTCTGATATTTTGTAGTTAAAACAACCCAACTCTGTAGAATTAGGTCTCAGCTTTCCACTCAATACTTGTGGAACAAGGAGGCCTGGGAAGGATGGATACTGAGTCTGGCATATGATCTAATATGAGGGTACTTTAAAAAGTTTGTGGAAAAATAGAATTAAAAGATAATATGAATCTTTCCATGAACTTTTGGAAGTACCCTCATATGTGTAATATTGGATCTAGCTAATTATTATGTAAAATTGAAGTCCAGATTAAATTTCACTTATTTTCCTCTCAAACATGAGCAGTGTTACAAGGCTCAGTTGACTCAGTCTTACACATTGGCTTACACCCTCCCATCATTAGTATGCACTGGCTTTGGGAGTTCTCTGCTTTTGCAAAGCTAGTTTTGAGGGGTGGAACAGGTTGACAATTAGCTTGACTTCTAGACAAGTTGTAATATGTAAATATAACAAGTATTTTCCTTCTCTTTCAAAGCAGTCATTTTTGGAGGTAATAACCTTGTTTCAGTAGAGCTGATAGTACATTCTATTTAAAAGACAGCATTTGATGATTTTACCTTCTGTTCATAAAAGTAATACATACTTATATAGAAAATTATAGAAAAAGTAGAAGGAAGAAAATCGCCCATAATCTTATTACTCAAAGAATAATTATTAACATTATAGTCTGTATCTTTCCATTCATATACACACAGACATATATACTTTTTTGTTTTGTTTTGATTTTTAAAATAATGCAGTCATACTGACTTTTTATAACTGCATTTTCAGTTTAATATGTTGTGTGTATTCTGTGTATAGAATAGTTTCAACTGGTGGTTCTTGACCTGAAACAACCCCACTGTCCAGGGAAAATTCATGCCTTGAGATGTTTTTGATTTAACTGGGGGGGAGGGGGGGATTAGTCAAGGCCAGGGATGCTGCTCAACATCCTATAATGCACGGGACAGCCTCCCACAATAAAGAATTATCTGGCCCAAAATGCCAATATTGTTGGTTGGGAAACCCTTCAATATGTCATGATGTTTAATAACATCATTATATTATAATAACATTATTATTTAATAAGTGCATTGTATTCAGTCAAGTGGCCATACCATAATTTATTTAACCAATCTTCTACTATTTGACATAGTTACTAGAAGTTGTTCTTAATCTCTCTAACTATTCAGGATAAAAATTCATCAGAAGAATCACTAGATCAAAATATTCTAAGGCTATTGATACAGTTTGACAAATAGCCCCTAAAAAGTAAAGTGCCCAGCACAGAATATTGTACCCAGCACATTTAATTTGGTTAGTGTTGTTATTTTTTATTTAAAATGGATGAGGAGGTTAGTGTTTGGGACGTAAGAGAAAGAGAAAGAAAAGGATTCCAAGCAGCAAGGGAATGGGACACAAAGGACAGAGGATTATTTACCCAGTTTTATGCACCAACGGAAGGTCTTTTGCATCATTTTAAGCATGTGTGTGCACACTATTTGCAAAATGTGCTTGACATTGGGAAAAAGTACAAAATAAGTAAGACTACCTTAGTGGTGGAGAAATTCTGAAGTATACGAGGAACTGTAGAGTCTGTGCCTTGAGAGGAACAAATAGCATGTTGTAAAAGTCTAGGGAGAAGAAAGAGTAATTCCATTTTTGTGAGGATGAGTATGTCAGAGCTTCATGGAAGAAGGGGTTTTTAACCAGGATTTGGGAAACAATTAGCATTTCTGTGAATAGGAAAAGTGGGATTGTGAATGGGTTAGTGGGATTCCATGAGTAAAGACATGAGTTCCAGGATGTTCTAGTGTTTTAGCAATAGCAGAGTCCAGTTTTGTTGAAATAAATACAGTGCACGAAGGAGAGCAATGTGAAATAACTGTAAAATAATACCTTTAAACCTTATATAAGTATCAGTATTAGAAGGAATTAATGGTGATGGTTTCTAATCCTCTTGTTTTACAGTCGAAGAAACAGGGTAGGCTAAAATCAGGTGATGGAAGACCTTGAATGTAATTAGATCACTTAGGCATTCATCTGTAGCAGATCTATTTTCTCTCTCTGTCTCTCTTTCTCTCTTATTTTTCATACTGCTTTGCATTTTATGGGTTATCTGAATTTATTTTCCAATAACCTTTCCAAGAGTCCTGGTCCTTTTTGGCACTTTTGAAATCATAGGGCAGAGAGTAATTTCAGGATGTTTACTAATGTGCCCCCTCATGCCTCCAACAACTCAATGCTGTAATTGTTTCAGACAGTAAGTTGGCCTTCATTCAGAAAAATCTAGGAGAGAAGATTCCATCAGAACCATCCATATCTTGAAGAAATTCTTTATTAAAGAATTCTCGAATCTTAATTTGGGATTGCTCTTGCTCCAGCTTAAGCTCTTTTCCATCCCGTGAGGAAGATAAGCAGGATAACAGCCCCTTTAGAATATCCTAAATTGTATCCATGCTGCCCGTTGACATTCTCTATTGAGAGCCTAACAGTACAGCCAAGAAACCGTATGTGAGTAAATACAAAATGTGCGAGAAGTTTACACCGTTTATATCAGGATTTCAGTTATTTATCACCAGTTAGTAAATACCTGCAGAAAATATGCTACTGATTAGGTTTCTTTTTTTTAAGCATACCAGTAAAGGAAAATTATGCATTGGTATTTATTGGAGATTACAGAGATCAGCATTAATTTATATATCCTAGCAATGTCATTCCAGTGATCGGCTTATTGGAAATAGAGGCATAGGAGACCATCTTGTATCTTTTTAAGAGGGAAATTTTTAACTTTTATCCAAACAGACATTTGCATATGTATGTATAATTTGAAATTTCTTAAGACAGTGATTCTGCAGCTGCTTTGATAATCTGATGAAACATTATGGACCTTCCCAGAAAAATGCACTTATGAATTTATATACATTTTATATGTAATTTCATAGATGCCAGTACATGGCTTGTCCTTCTAAGTACAATTTTTATTTTTTGCTAATATGGCTAAAATGGAGCAAACAGAGCAGGTACAACATAGAATTTTGGATTTACTATGGTTTTTCACCAGCAATTTACTTAATAGATTATTGAGGCTGAGGAAAGAAATAGTCTGTAGTTACATGGTGAGACTTGGTTTGATGTTCTTCTTTCTCATTTTAATTCTGTATCCTTTTCTTGAGTAACATTTCATAGTATTTGAGTACTTCCCGTGTGTTGGCCGCTAGGGATACAGTGATAGCCAAAGCAGACATGGTCATCTTAGTGACTGCATGTGTACAACCTGAGGTAAGGGCTATGAAGAAAAGGAAAACATTTCTACAACACATATAACAAAAACCCTAGACTGGTGGGGCCGCAGTGCTGCCCTGTGGAAAGGATATCTGAGCTAAGAACTGAAGAGATGGGTGTAGTAGAAGCATTACAGGAAGAAGAAAGAGATTGGGCAGTGTTATGGCAGTGATGACGGAGAGAGGAGCTAGGTCTTGGTAATGATTCAAATATGGAGGGTGAGGCAGAGAGAGGTTCTGAGGATCCAAGGTTTCTGGCTTCTGCAACCAAGTGGACTATGGCACTACTAACAGTGATAATGTCAGGTGTGGGGCAGGGTCAAGCTGAGGTTGAGAGCCTTTGAAACAGCAACAGCAAGAAGTCAAATAGGCTTCTAAGTCAAATAAATTAAAAGATCTGGAAACCACTGGAGAGGTTTGAGCCAGAGATTAAAGTGCACATGTTGCTGGTAATCGCTCTTTATTATGATTTATACAAGCAGATTATTAATAGAAATGTGGAGTTCTCTGAGATCCCTTGGAGCTTTCTGAGTTCAATAAAAATTTACCAAATCACTTTCTTTATCTATAGCAAAAGCTACTCCTTAGTAAATATGGATTAACCTGTATGTTTTTGTTAAATCTTTACTTATAATCTATTCCAGTGGCATTTTATCAAGTGTATTAATCTTTATATATTAAATTGTTATTTGGGGGGGCATGGATGTTTTATTGAATTTGTAACATGTTAATAATATGTTTAAAATAATAGGCTTTCAAAAACTCTTTCTTTTCCCTAGATTTGATGTTGAATTTGTTCTCTCAGCACCTACTTCTGAATGGGATGGCAAACAGGGATACATTTCACCAGCTCTTCTCTCTGAATTTTTAAAAAGAAGTATAGACAAATCCAAAGTCCTCATCTGCATTTGTGGACCAACGCCATTCACAGAACAAGGAATAAGGTGAGTAGCCACATGGTAGGAAACAGAATGCCCAATACCATGAAAGGGATATCTTCCATAAAAGCAGTTGACTTATCTCTCAATTTCTTCTATTTATGTGAACCTGCACTATAGACACAGAATTACAGCTAGATAAGAAAAATAAGTTCTGTTGATTTATAGTAGTGCTAGGCATCTGTAATTAACAGTAATTTCTTGTACATTGTCAAATGGCTAAAAAAAGATAGGAACTTAAATGTTCTCATCACAAAGAAATAAATTTTTGCAATGATGAATTTGCTAACTATCCTTATTTGATCACTATACATTGTATACATATATTGAAATATAATTCTGTACCCATAAATATGTACAATCAATACATTTCAATTAAATAAAAAAAAGACAACCATGTATGATGTGCCTCCTGATGGAAGAACACTACCTATGAAGTACTCTTGTCAGAAAGACTTAAATGTGCATCTGATCAGCCTCATGATGGAAGAACACTACCTATGAAGTACTCTTGTCAGAAAGACTTAAATGTGCATCTGATCAAGCCTCTAGATCCAATTACTAAATTATAGGAAATAAGAGGACATAGGAATATATTTTTAAGGAGTACCACAGGATGCAGCAAAATGAGGACTATGGGAGGCTAAACAGATAAAAATCTGGTTTTTGTCAACAAATTAATTGCAGGACAGAGAAAAAGAGATGGAAGGAGATTTATAGATCAAAAGATAGCTAAAAGACTTATCAGCCAGGTGCAATGAGTAATCTTTAATTGGATCTTGACTCAAACTATTTTTAAAATTCTTACATTTATGAGACAATTGAAAATTTGAACACTGACTAGATATTTGATATTCAGGGATTATTGTCAATTTTCTTGAAGTAATAATTGTGTTTTTTAAAAAAATACATATAAAATGGTGCAAATGAAAAAGTACTATGGTTCTGAAGGTAAACTTTGATCTTATTTCTCTATTTTTAAACATTTTCCCTAAGAAACATGTGCTTTTTATTTGTTTTTCAGGTTGCTGCATGATCTTACCTTTTCAAAATATGAGATCCATAGTTTTACAGCATAATGAAGAGCTATCATTGTTCCTTATTCAACTAGTTTATCTAAATTTGTGATTGCTTAGGGTTTTTTAAGAGAACATTTTCGCTACAAGGTCAACTAGAATCCAGGCTTCAAGTTCTTAAATGAAATCAAATGTTCAGTATAGGTAACTTCTTGGCTTTATTTTGTACCATAACTTATTTTACTACTGATGTATGGCCTGGAGAGTCAAACATGGCAACAAATACATATAGAATTCTTTGTTATGAATCACAAATTTCCTTACCATTTAAATTGTATCCCTGTTCTACAATAAGCATTTGTGTTTTATGACATAATGTAAATGATCACTTTGATCACTTTTCTATTCTGTAATATGTCTTATTAGCAATACAGATTAAATTTTACGTTGCACTATTAACTCAGGAAATGATCATTTATGCCATGTTAATAATATGCAAACATGGAATGTTGTGATACAGACATTTTTGTGTGTATATTTGGCATCGATGCACAGTAGAATAAAATTATACTTAAGTACTTTTTAATCCTTGTGGTACAAATGTGGTTGAATGCAACGATATGGGGCCATGTCTTAAGGGCATTTCTAAAAGGCAACAGTAAAAGATATTGGAGATGCTTCGCACGTGCACATTTGGACTAGGTGTACCAGAGAGCTTAGGCGCTAGTAATATATCAATTAACTCTACTGTAGCCAACATCTTTCTCATCTTTTCTAACCCCCTTTTTTCTTTCCCCTCCAGTCCTTTTCTAATTATCTCAACCAAACAGAATCTCCTCTTTGTATCTCTTTCTCATTCCTCCTTTTATTAAATTTTAAAGCAAAAGAAAATCCATAAGCATATTCTGGGTAATCTCCGCTCACATGATTTTATCACCTTACATGTTAATAATTCCCAAATTGGAGTGTCTAATTTTAGAATCACTGAGCTTCTGTTTTCAATATCCAGTTACCTTTGGGACACTACCTGGATGTTCCATAAGCCCCTCAAACTCAGCATGTCCCAGACTAAACTTTCACCATGATCATCTCTTTCCAAGTCTATTCCTCATGAATTCTCTGATTCACTACCTTCTACTTAGTTCAGCCCCTCTAGAACCATTAGGAATCAATATCGTTGTCTCACTTTCCAATCTGGTTTTTCCGTACCAGCTAACCCTGCCCTATCATCCCTCAACTGCATTAGTACAGTAGCTTAGTAATTGGTATTCCTGTTGCAATCTTGTTCTCACTGAAATCTATTCTCCATTCCAGGGTGTCCTAGAAGGCCTTGAAGAGAAAATCCCCTAAATAGAGCCTCAATCTTCCATTGCATACAGCCATATATTGTGGGGCACAGATGGGAGTATAGGTTATAACTATTATTCTTAAGTAAAGAACTCAGAGTCCTATATCGTATATTTGCAATGAGGGAAGAGAATTATAATTAAAGTCACTTCTGTTTGAGAATTCTGCTTGCTTTTTTTTCTTCCTTTTTTTTTTTTAAATATATTTTAAACAGATTATCACAAACTTAGCTTAAAACACACCCATTTATTGTCTCACAAAAAAATATATTTTAAACAGATTATCACAAACTTAGCTTAAAACACACCCATTTATTGTCTCACAGTTTCATGGCTCAGAAGTCTGGGCACAATGTGGCTCAACTGGGTCTTCTGCTGAAGGCTTCACAAAGCTAAAATCAAGTTGTCAGCTGGGTTAGGCTCTTATCTAGAGCCCAGCTGCAAAGTCCCTTTTGTCTCGTAACATAACATATTCAAAGGTTGCAGGCATTAGGGTGTTGACATCTTTGTGGGGGGGAGCATTTTGTCTATCACAATCCATAAAGGAAACAGAGAAATTTGTCCAAGGTGAGATGATTAGGTTTTGTCTAGATATCACTATAAGCCCTCAACTTTTATCTTAATGTAATAGAACACGAGAGGAGCTTTCACATCCCAGAATATTTGACTATATTATGCTCAAAAGGCTTGGCTGTAATCTCCTCTGTGGTCTCCCTTCTCAGCCATGTAACCTTTTCCTGAACCAGCTTGGAGCTTAGTCTATTGACAGCTACAAACGCCCACCTTTGGGCAGATAAGCCAGACTGTGATTGGTCTACAATATTTAGAATTGGGACTAATAGGTAACAAAGGAGAAATGAAACCTCAACCAGCCTCAGGCTCTTGGTATCTTTTAGCTTTGGTTTTATTGTGAAATCATCTTCACACAGGGTAGCTAGTTTGGCAGACCTCAAAACAATACCAGAGTGATCTATCTAAAATTCAAAAACGCATCTCCTTTCCTGGTTAAAACTCCCACTCACAGAATGGAATCCTGTCTTGGGTGCAGCATTATTTATAAAGCCAAAAGGTGGAAACAACCCAAATATTTATTTAGTGGGTGTATGGGTAAATAAAATACAGTATATCCATACATGAAATATTATCCAGCCTTAAAAAAGATTGAAGTATTGATACATGGTATAACAGGATGAGCTTTGAAAACATGCTGAATGAAAGAAGCCAGTTATAAAATATACAGATATGATTTAATTCCTATGAAATGTCTAGAACATGGAAATCTGTAGAGACAGAAAGTAATTATGGTTGCTTAGGGGGTACAGGAATAGGGAATGATAGCTAAAGGGATGATAGCTAAGGGTATGAGGGGGGTCGAAGTGATGAAAATGCTCTGAAGTTGACTGGTTATGATTGCACATACCTGCAAATATACTAAAAACCATTGAATTGTAAACTTTAAGTGGGTAAACTGTATGACATGTGAAGTATATCTCAATGAAGATACAAAAGAGATATTAAGACTAAAGTAGAAAGAACACAAGAACAAATAGATAAAATTTCTTAAGTGAAAAGAATGCAAATAAAGACAAAAGGATGCAAGAGGAAGTGGTGAATATTGAAGACAGGAAAAGAATACCCAACATATGAATAATAGTAGTCCTTGAAGATGAAAATTAAAGTAAGGAGGAAGAATAAGTACTAAAAAGTGTAAGAAAAATCTTCCTGAAATTAACCAAAAAAATTGAAGTTAATGTTGAAAGAGAACATCTTAGAATACTCATATTCACCTAAAAAGACCAACACAGAGATGAATTTTTTTTTTTTTTTTTTTTGTCTTTTTCGTGACCGTAAGGGGATCGCAACCCTTTGTGTGGTGTTGCCCGCACCGCACTCAGCCAGTGAGGAAACCGGCCATTCCTACATAGGATCCGAACCCGCGGAAGGAGCGTCACTGCGCTCCCAGCGCCGCACTCTCCTGAGCACGCCACAGGGCCGGCCCTGGCAACTGGTTTCTTTTTCTTGCACTCAGCCAGTGAGTGCACCGGCCATTCCTATATAGGATCTGAACCTGCGGCGGGAGCGTCACTGCACTCCCAGCGCCACACTCTCCCGAGTGCACCACGGGCACACTCAGCCAGTGAGCGCACCGGCCATTCCTATATAGGATCTGAACCTGCGGCGGGAGTGTCACTGCACTCCCAGCGCCACACTCTCCCAAGTGCGCCACGGGGCCGGCCCAGAGATGAATTTTAATGAAATTACTGAACCTTAAATAAAAAGCAAATACCTTTAGTCATCCAGACAAAAATAAAAACTCATGACTTAAAAGGAAAAGAGAATTAGATTATCATCAGACTTTTCAACAGTATTACCTTGTGTTGTAAGAAAGTGTAACATATTTCAGATACTTAAGGGAAAAAAATGTGAGCCAAGGATTTTACATCCAACAAAACTTACTTTTGACTATAAAGGCATAAACTATTGCTGAATGCAAGAATTGAAGAAATATTGTTTTCGAAAGACTTTCCTAAAGAAAGAACAAGCTTTAGACAACCAGAAAGATTAGAGAGACATTGATGAAAGGATTAGTGATGAACATTAAACCTGTGGAACTAAGATTAAATGAGGATTAAAAAAAAAACATAGATATATGCTCTGACATAGAGATATAACTATTAAAAATGGGAAGAGAATGAGGAAAACATATGAAAAAACTTTTAACTATTTTGGAGTATTGGCAGTGGTTGTATTAGTACTGTTATTCTGAGGATGTGAAATAAAGCAAATGCATACTAAAAAAAATAAATGTCATCTGGTCTTCAGCCTCTGCATTTTCCATTAAATATATTTGAAGTGGGTTAAAAGTAGCTCTGCTGATTAAACCATTATTAGACTTTGAGAAGAGTTTTCACTAACTAAAAATCTTAGAGAACTAGTTTGTAAAATGCAATTATGGACTCACAAGTTACCTCCCTCATGGTTCAAACCACACAAAATCTTTTGTAAGGAGAAAACTTGACAATTGTTTTTCTTTGTGAGACTGGCTTTGTGAGGCAATCACAGTTCTGTTTCTCTCTTATCTGCTAGTACTTCACTCTACATCTAAGGATTGTTAACTCTCCCAAAATAATTGTGTATAAACCAGAGGGAGACTATCAGTAGCAAAGTGTGTCCTGGAAGGTGTGATTCCCATAAGTAAAGTTCTGTAAGGGGTTGCAGGAACAAGAAGAATCTTAACAATGTTCATGCTGGCAGGTTTTTTGTTTTGTTTTTTTTCCAGAGTGTCAGAAAATCAGGCTTTAGGGAGAATCCTATCTCAGGTAATCTGCGCTGAACTCAAGAAACTCAAGTAATAAACACAGGAAATTGAGTTAGGAATTGTGCACATGAACTTGTCATCTAGATATAAATCTAAGAGGGAATTAGACCCATACCCAAACAGACAAAGAATAGGGTCAAAGAAAGTTTATGTACCATGTCTGTTGATATGCCTTAAATCTGGACAGGTTGCTCCTCATTCAAAACTAAGTATACTTTAAAAATCTGGTATAGGATTTATCTTAGAATAATGCAGAAATATAGGAAAAAGAGGGATATCATCCCCAACATTCAAGAGGAATAGCAAAGCTCTGAAAATGATTTCTCACAGGAGCTGGAAGAAAATGAAAAGGTTTGGCACCGTCAGGGGTGTGCAGGAAGGCACGGCCTCTTTGAAACAATAGCAGGAAGCGTGGACTGTGATGATGAGATAGACTGACCAAGGTGAAAAGTCCTCAAAACAGGGCCGGCCTGGTGGCTCACTCGGGAGAGTGTGGCGCTGGGAGCACCGAGGCCGCGTGGGTTCGGATCCTACATGTGGATGGCCGGTGCGCTCACTGGCTGAGCGTGGTGCAGACCACACCGAGCCGAGGGTTGTGATCCCCTTACCAGTCAAAAAAAAAAAAAAAAAAGCAATATTCTAAAATTTATAATTCTCAATACTGGCAAGAGTACAGTGAATCAAGCATTAACTGGGTTTATTGATACATTGCTATGATTTTGGGGGGAAGCATCCTGACAGCATGCATTAAAACTGTGCTCACTTCTTGTCTCTTTTGGGGTTTTATCTGAAGTATTAATACAGAATATTGAAGAAGAAAACCCCAAAGCTGTTCACTGTTAACTACATTATAATAACAAAAATTTACATTACATATAATACATAAATTTAAAAACTAAATTTACAAGATACGGGGAATGA